GTCACCTTATTAACCCTGCATATTTTTAGGCTAGAGAGAGAACCAGGCCTACCTTTAGGAAGAGTCAACTGGCTCTTGAAGCACTAGGTTGCAAATGTTCAGAGTCCATTTCTCTCACTGCCAGTGATGCTGAGAGGTGCAAGATTACAACAACAAGGCCAATAATGATTTTCTCTTTAGGTGCCAGCATAACATGGCTGGTTTTGAATATTACATCTGGAGCATTTGGGGGTACCATTCTCTGTTCTTGTCTCAGATGGCAAAACATCTTTGACTGGTCCTACGTAGTTTTCAGGGCATTATAACTACTAGAACTGCATATTTAATTAACTGAAGTGTTTTTCTCTGCTCTTCAACCAAAAAAGGCTCCCCAAGAAGAGAGTTTAGTACAACCAATATTAGGACTAACATAGCTGGGTTGCAAACATTCAGACAACCACTAGGTGGCAACAAAGAATTAGGGCTTTCAGTCTCTCTTGGAGGCCATCTAGTGGCCCTACAGACTTGCAGAGCCCCAAAATGATATTGCATGGACACAGCTACTATGATTTGTAAACCATGGTTTATAGCTTCCTGGAACTGACCTATGGCTATTTAGTTTTATCAGTCCTGCTTAACCAAATCATAGCTTGGCATGGGGAGGAGCAATTGCTCTGTGATTGGGGCTAATACTTATGGTGGGAGCTTCTTTGGACCACTGGGGTATGGCCAATGACACCATGATGCCACAGGAGTGATAGGCCAAACGTTTCAGCCCTTATTCAGAGGAGGGTTAAGCTTTGAGTTCCTACATAAAGCTAAGACATGACATCTATGCATATGCATTCCAGAACATCAAACTCAATCATGGCCTACCAGCTTTGCTCCAAGCATGCTTCTTACCTTTTTAATTTTAGAAGCACTGCATGGATGTCTTAAATATTTTTGAATTTTAATTACATAATTAATTTAATTGACTTAAAGAGAAGATTGTTTTTAAATGCAAAACTGCTTCAGAGATTAGGTAAGGAAAGCTTTTGGAGATATTCCACATGGACTAGCCCATCAGCACTATGGGACAGACAGGTTTTTTCTACAAACTTCCAAAACTGATATTCCCAAACCTCTATCCTTAAGAGAGGAAAGGGTAGCTTGAGTACAACAGAGGCATGTCCAGCTTCACCTCACCTCTTGATAGTTGCCATATGTCTGATTTCCTGTTATAGGAGTTACAGGAGTAGCCATAGGGTGGCACTGTCCTCCTTCAGAAGAAAATGTGAACTCTTACTAGGAATTCTGGGAACTGTAGTCTCAGTTCATGTAGAGCCCATCCCCACTGGGAAAAGCTTGCCGGGATTCTTATCTGCTCATCTGCCTGGTTCTTCTCTGCATTGCCTTTGTTAAAAACAATTTATGGGTGAGATACCACTGTGTTTCCTAAGTGTGCTCCCCACTAACACAGAGTGAGTCACATCCATTCATCCTGATTAAAATTTGGATTCATTGGAGAGCATTCTGGATTCATTTGTGCTCTGTTATTTGGACTGCGTTGTACTAGTTATTTAATTCACTCGTAAAATTAAATTAGGATTTGATTGATTGATTGATTGATTGATTGATTGATTGATTATGGGACATCAAGCCGTTGGTGACTTTTAGAGACCACATAGGTAGATTTTCTCCATTACATTCTGTCCCTAAATTGATCTTTCAGGTCTTCCAACAGGGCACCCATCACCACTGTAACTGAGTCCATCCACCTTGCTGCTGGTCATCCCCTTCTTCTCTTTCCTTCCACCTTTCCCAGCATTAGAGTCTTCTCCAGAAACCTAGCTCTTCACACAATGTGTCCAAAGTAGGATAATTTGAACCTGGTCATTTGTGCCTCGAGTGAGAACCTTCTAATAGCTAAGTTCAAAAGCATCAATGCTCTTCCAATCCTGCTTCTTCAATGTCCAGTTTTTGCTTCCATAGAGTGTCACAGGGAATACCATGGTCTGCACGATTCTGATCTTTGTGGGTCACATCACAGCATTTGAAGATCTTTTCCAAGGCCTTCATGGCTGCTCTACTAAGTGCTAGTCTGCAGCATATTTCTTGACTGCTTTTCCTCTACTGTTGATAGTTGTTTCTAAAAGGCAGATGCTACCCAACACTTCAATATCTTCATTATCAATTCTAAGGCTGGTTGTTCTACCAGTGGTCATTACTTTGGTGTTCTTTATATTTAATTTTAGTCCCAGTTTAGTGAACAAATCCAAGATCATCTCTGCATATTGTTTTAACCATTGATTAAGCTATTTTTGGTTGGGTTCACCCTTCGCACTAAGCATAAAAAACCATTTACCTATGACAGAGATTGAGTGTGCACAATACATTAAAACCAGGGGGTGAGGGTGCCAATTTTGGTTTCCCAAGTTTCTTGTTTTTTTCATTCAGTCAAATGCAGTTTTTCATAGTTTCTCATTTTTGTAATTCTATCAAGCCCAGCTCATTGAACTTTAAATTTCTCTAACAGGCATTTTTAAATAGTTGTTTGACTGTGTTTGGGAAGTCTGCAAATTGCAAATGATGAGTTTCATTTCATTGATCATTTTGAAGATATAGAATTTCTCCTCCTACCCTACATCCGGATGGTGATTCAAGCTAAGCCTTGAAAGTTACTTTTTCAACTATTGTTTATGTATTACAGCTCGTTATGCCATAGCAATGGAAACCATTAATTCATTTCACACAGTAAGATCTTGTCCATGGCACCTTTTACCACCATAAATGAAAAGAGATAGAAAACTTTTGGGGTCTGAGGCACAGTGGGAATTTTGTGAGCATGTGGTAGGTGCCCACACAAAATGCCAGATTCTTTTGTTGCTGTTGTTGTTGTTTATATTAAAACAATCTTTTAAAAAAGACATCTGGAGGAGCATGAGGGTCAGCAGACACTTATCAAATATCCCACTTTACCTGAAATTGAAGTTTTGTGCTCCAGAATGGACATCCCAACCAGTTGGCAAAAAAAAGTCTTAGAAAGTAGAACCGCACAGCTCTGCAAAGAAGGATATGGATTTAGCCATCTGGCACAACTCATTCTCCTTTTGCCTGTGAAGAGTGGTTCAGCCCATATTACCCAACTTGGCCAGCAGAAGCGTCAGCCCTTGGAGGTAGACCACGGCAGGAAACAGACACCACATGAACAATTGGAACTCTATTGTTTATGGGATATAATAACAGAATCTTGAAAGCCTATCAGACTTTCTCTACCCCCATTCCCATCCCCTTTATACCAAGGAGAAACAAGGCAGGGCAGCCTTGAGTTGCTTTCTCACTCTCCCCTTTGGGGCTCAGCTGGTGTTTACCTAACAGCCGTTGGATTCCTTCCTCAAGGTCTTCTCCACACTCCTCCACAGCAAGCAGCTGATTACAACCTTTGCCTTGGTTGAACCAACTGGAAATATGGCAAGCCTGTGTTAGGAGACACTACTGCTTTGCCTACTCTGGGGGTAGGTATTGCCAATTTTATTTTTTAATTTTTTTAAGTTATACGTCACATTTATACAGCCACCCATCTCACACAAAGCGACTCTGGGCAGCAATTTCATTGGAAGAAATGGTTAAAATGACACCAGAGTACTTCAGTGTGTTGTATTGTATGGGCTATGTAGGAACATATAAAAATAGGGGAGGGGTACTCTTTTTGCAGTATTACAGGTAGTCCCCGGGTTAAGAACACCTGGTTTACGGACAACCCATAGTTAGGACAGAGCCTATTGTAGCAAAATGCGAGTTAAATGCACAATGATTCAAGTTAAATACACAATGGTTTGAGTTTAATACACAATCCTACTTATACAGTATCATACAATTGAAACTGTCCCAGCTTACATACAAATTCAACTTAAGGACAGACCTTGAGAATGGAACTCATTCTTAAACTAGGGTTCTATCTTCCCATAGATGTGATCTTCAGAAAGTGTGTTTCTCTATGCAGGCTTATAAACCACCTCAGTCATGAACCAACTCTAACCTGCTTACGTTGCCAAATACAGTAACAAATGTAAAGCCATAAATAAGCACAAAATAATACTAATGTTCTTGTCTCATTCCATGCCAAAGAGCAACAGTTCAAAATCCAAGGAAAAACATCCCTGTGGAAACCCAGGGGAAATAATTTTCAGTTTTGTGTGTCCTTAAAAATACTAGCTGAGGCCTTCCATGCATTACAGAAAGTGTCTGATAGGAAGATATTTGCACTCCCAGATTTCAGGTTCATAGAATCAACTTTTTCTTTTCTTTTTTTACTGGAATTGGCCAGAACCTGGTGCAAAAGACATGTGCTTAAAATAACAAATCAAAACTTGAGATCAAGCATAGGAGCTGAATGAAGTTTCCTACCCTTTTACGAATTAATACAAGTTGGCTTCATTTCAACACTTTATTGCTGCTATTTGTTTTTCATTTTTTTTTAGTGGACGTAAAACAGAAAACAAACCACCCCAAAACCTTCTGCGTCTCCTGCTGATCAAGTCTTGATTCTGATCTACCTGATGTCCATCTGAAAAGTTACAACAGAGGAGGGAGCAGCAGCCTCATTTCACACACACACACACACAGAGCATTTCATAAACCGGGGAAAAAGGAAAACAAGTCATTTGTACAAATACTTGGAGCAGACTGTTCTTCCTGCAGGAGAGGCCTCCTTCTCGCCAAGTGTGCATTTTTACGGCATGACACCAATTGTGCTCTTATTAGAATGGTAAAAAAAAAGAAGGTGAGGGGTGGGAAAAGTATCTACCAAATCCAACCTGGATTTTAACTTGCAAGGCAAAACCCCCAAAGCTTTCCAAATGCCAGGACCTTGCGAGGCTCAGCACAAGCCGTCTGGCCGAGACCTCCCAAAGGCACCATCAAATTCCCTTTTGCCAAAGATTACAGCATTTCCTTTTCCTCTGACCCAAAGCATGTCTCTTTCTGAGCAAGACCCCAGGGCCACCCCTTCCTTGCCTCCTGCTTGCCCCCTTCCTCCCTTCAAGCTCCTTCTGTGCCTCTTCCTTTCTCTTCTGGGCTGTTCTTCTGCAAGCAAGCAAGAAAACCCTTTGCAACTGGAGAAAGGTAGGAATGAAACTGGGATGGGATGTGTATGTGTGTGTGTGTTGAGTAATCTTGGAGAGTTATGTTTTAACTTCAGACTAAAGATGAAAAATCGATCAATGTTTGGGGGACAGAGACAACTTTTCTCCCAGACTTTCCTCACTGCCTGCAAATCTTGACGGTCCAAAACAGAAGAGAAAAATTTTCTTGTCCCTTAAGTTGCCAAACAGATTCCACAAAAGAAGACTCACCCACTCACCAGACTGGGGGGTTCAAACTTTTTCAGCCTGTGGAACCAGTTAAAAAAAAAGGAAATCCCTGCTCAAGAGGCAAAACTCTATGATAGAAAAGGAGCTACTTTCAAGTGAACTTAAAAAAAAAAATCTTCATCTCTCTTGGAAGCCTGGGGTTCCAACACAGTTTGTGAAACTCTACACTACACAAACAGGGCTCTCTATTCTAGCTTGGTCTGCAAGAGAGCCTGCTCACTTGGGGGGCAGTGAAGGGCCAAACATGCCTCATCTCTGCTAACCTCCAGCCCTGATCCAGAAGATGTGGTTGTAGGAAACCATGAAGTAATTTTTGTGGCTGTTCAGTCTCATCAAGGAGGGCACATCCTGAAGCTATAGCAGTGGCTGATGGGCAACAGAGCAGTCCAGCAGAAGGGTGGGGATCAGGAATAGCATCTGAATTGGCAAGGAGGTACCCAGCCTGGCACTTTTGAAATGTATTAGACTTCAACTCCAGAATTCCCAAACAAATGGGGGTCGATCCAACAGCTCTGGAGGATATCTGGATGAGACGTTTTTGATTTATGTCTGTATTTGCTTATCACCTGAGTGATCTCTTCTGGACAGTGCCTTTCCTAAGTCTTCTTAAGCACACTTTCCATGTGGAAGGGTGACATAAATTCAGATCCTAGTATTAAATACCACACTTATTAGACCAAGGCATCTTCTGGAGATGGTCAAACAAGTCAGGATGGTGCATCACTGTCCATAAAAAGCAGGCAGAGCTTTGACTGCAGCACGAGAGTCACCATCTTGACTTTCTTTGCAGACACCCCCCCATGACAGAAAAAGAAATGAAAGATGAGGGGAAAGATTTAGTGTTTTACTCCTTAGCTTCCAGCTGATGCTTTTCTCTACTTACAAACAGTTTCATTGCAGAAAGGCAAACTCTGAGGAAGAGGAAAGGGCACAGAATAGCACAGATTAGCTGAATTCACACAATGCCCTAAACTAGACTAAAATAGAGAGTGGTCCTAACTCAATCTTTGTCTTACAGTGTGGTAAGAATCAGTGATGACAATGTGGCATGTGGGTTATTTACATTATGGAAACACAGCAGTTGTGTTTTGCTAACAGGTTACCCTTCAGCGTGTTGTGCGAGCCCACCTAGTGAATTCACAACACCCCTATGAATGGTAATGTTCCCAAAGCACAAGGATCTGTACCCTTCCTTCCATCTTTTTTTCTCTCTCACCAACCTGGAGAGAGGCTGAAATTCTAAAGTCAGTTTTAGGGTACTCTTTGCCCCCCATTTCCCCCCTCCCTCCTCCGTTCTCAAGCCCCAGCCACCAATAACCTCCACCGAATGAGACTCTTATTGCTGTAACCCCAAGTCATAACATATTAAGACATGAACAACTTATATCTTAAGTTACTTAACTTATAACTACAGCAACACAAGCCCAAAGAATGGCTAAAATTACAGCTTTAAAGGCAAGTAACAAAATTAAGCCAAGAGTTACAACTTACCCCAGTATCTAGTAAAATTAACAAATTTCTTTTCAGTGTTAGCAGACAGTGAGGTAAGAAGAGCTATTAGATTACTAAAATAAGGAAATGTGTCTGCTCAGAAAAGGTTAATACGCTCTGTTTCAGAGGCTGCTAATCTGCCAATAATATAGCCAAACATTTTTGTTTTGGGTGCTGCATAAAAGAGGCAATAGAGAACTTTGAGTTGAATTGTCTTCCTTAAAAAGCAAAGTTAGGAAGCAATTCCTGGAGGTCTGTAATATTTTGGGGGGTGCAGGCAGCCTCCTGGCCTCCCTTGATGCACCTCTGGGATAGAACAGTAAAGACTTCTGACAGCAAGATGAGAATAAGGATAAATGGTGACATTAGATCAGTTAAAGGGGTGTTTCACAGCTTCCCAGCAGCTGGAGAGGCTTCTCCCGGCCTCCGTGAGCATCCTGGTTGGCTTTGGAGAGGCTCTCAGAAAATGTGATTAAGAGTTCCCAAGCGTCATTTCAAGAAACAGTGCACATTATGGAAGGATACCGCACTTAGTCAGACTCTGCAGGACTGTTCGGAAAGGCTGCCCCGAGGCAGGAGAGCAACAGAAGGCTCAGAGTTTGCTCATTTTCCAGCTTTGGGAATACTGGAACTTTCCGGCCTTCAGCTTTGGGGCTAATCATTTCCATCTGCTTCTTTGCTGACAGGCTGGGCACACGGTGGCAGGAGTTGAAGAGCACTGAGAACGTGCGAGGAGGGCTTGGGAACCCGAAAGCCCTAAGACGGGAATGGTGCGCCTGCTGAGGCCGCCCCAGACTGCAGGGGGGAAGGTAAGTTAGGGTATCCGTCTCTTGGGCGGCTTGATGTTTTTAAAAAGTACAGATATGTGAAGCTTGGTGTGAAAGGTGGTGCCTCTCTTTCTCTTGGGGTCTGGCTAGGGTGTATCCTGGATCTGTTTGTGCAACCAGGGAACTGTGTGGAAACCCAGCTCATTTTTCTGAGCGTTCATGATTCTGCAAGTAGAGATGGGAGATATTGTTCCCAGCAGAATGCAAACCCACCGAAATCTAGATTCTTTTTCATCTGCACACCAACCCCGTTCGCATTTTGCCTAATTTTGCAATGCCGTTTGCCAATAGAAGGCTGGGCGTGAAGAGAAAGAGTGTATGAAAAAGTATATTTTTGCCTTGGAAGGTATTATTTATTTAAGAACGTTCTTTGGATTGGATTTTAACTAGGATTTCTTCTCGTTTTATTGTAAACCGCCGGGAGTCGCTCTTGGAGTGAGATGGGCCGTGCCTAAATTCGAAATATAAATAAATAAATAAAATGTTTTATTTTTAATATTTATTTATTCATTTGTTAGGTGTATAGACTGCCTTTTGTCTATTATACACTCCTGTTTTTCCTCACAATAGCCCTGTAGGTGGGCTGGGCTGAGAAAATGGACAGGCCCAAAGTACTCCACTGAGCTTCCACGGCTGAGGGGGGACTCGAACCCAGGCCTCCCTGCTCCTAGTCCAGCATCTTCTCCTCTAGACCACCCTGGCTCTTGGGCTGGGAGAGAGTGATGACTTAAAGTCACCCAGAGGGCTTCCTTGGTTGAGAATGGACTAGAACCTGAATCTCCCCCATACCAGACTAACGCCTTACTATCCCAGTTTCAAGTCCCCACGTGACCATGGGGCTCACAGAGAAAGGTGAGGTATAATTGCAATACATAGATTAAAACAGATCTTATGAACACAATGTACAGCATGCGCTACGTTAGGAGACGTTGTCTATAAGAGTGGTGTATGTTAAGCTAAATTGCAAGTAAAAATGCACAGGTTTGGAGAAATGCGTACACGTTTTGTTGCTAAAAAATAAATACGTGTTACATTTAGCAAACAGAATTGCCAGCATGAGATGTTAACAGTTAAGAGAAAGTGAAATGAGTTATTTTCAAGAATGAGAAACTGGAAATGGACATATTCAACTATTCCTAAAACTTACGCTGAAAAGTCCTAGAAAAAACAACCACAGATGATACAAAGTACATTCTGCCAATATACTTCAATAAACATAGTTTAGACAAATCTCAGCATATAATTGTTGATAGAAAATAGATTCTCCTCAAGCAGAATTTGTGCATACAGACATATCCATGTACATGGATTTGAGATAGACAATGTGGTTTTGCACCACACTCTAAGCAGACGCAGGCATTTATGTAATTTAATCTTAACATTTTGCATGGATTCTATCATTCCGATTTCTAACCTTATTTTTGTTCAGGGTGTTTCATGCATTCAGTTATTGGCCATTTATTAATGGATAAGAAACCCAGGACCTAGCATGATATGTGAACCCAACCACAGTGCCGAAGGCTTCAGCTGGTTATTGGCCTTAAATGTTTGCTCTAGTATCTGTATGGATTGAATGTAGCATTTAAAATGTCATATTGTGGTCCTCCAGGCTCAGTGTGGCCTCCATCGGCATTCCCCAAGTTGATCTCCCATAATTGTGGTTTCTTCTTGTTCAGCATTCAGCCTGTAGCTCTACAAGCCCACAGACAGAAGATCTGTCCATCTTCTCTTCCCCAATCCTTTTAGCTGGACATCACAGGACCTACTGCATACAAAGCAGACACTCTCTCATTAAGTTAGCACCCTCATGATGTCAAATACAGTACCATCAGGTCTTCTAACATGCAGGATGGTTTTACATATCATGGTAAACCATGATGTAATTTGTTGGGTTTCAGCTTTGCTTGTTGTGTGAACCAGGGCTACTAGATCTGGTCTGCAGATGCAAAATGCTGGAGTGTTCTGTATCTCTTCACTCCCATCTGGTGGCCATCCAAATATATGCAGCCCAGTCATTGTGGTTTAAAAACCATGGTTTATAGCTGGGGTGTGCAACCAGAGGCCCCAGGATTGGATGTGGCTTCCAAATTCTCCTCCAACTTGCAGTTCCCATTATTTTGAGGCAAGAACACAAAAACACTCTAGTGGAACTGTGAAATAGAATTAGTTCACGAAACAAACTCTCAGATTTTCGTCAAATCCTAAAAAAGTCAGAACACCCTGGCCCTGTTCATATATGTGACTGTCACTCTGCCTATTGCAATACTAGCACTCCTAAAAAATGTTAGATATGGCCTCTGGGCATTTAAGGTTGCCCACCTCTGCCTTATGGCTTGGTGTGATGTGTGAACCGAGCTAATTGTGGTTTGTTATATAAACTCTAAGTAATCAAACCTACCTTAATGTGATGGATAAACCCAGTCAGTCTCTCTTTCTCACATACATGCACAATCTCTCTCTCTTTGGCTGTATTTGCACGTTGCTTAATGAGATCATTTGAAGATCTAGTTATTGCCCTTTGCACAAGATACACGTGGTTAGTTTCAACCTTGCTTAATTTTTTTGTGGCTCACTGCATTGAGCAAACCCATCCTGTTGGGACAGTTGATGGTTCAGTGTGTGTGCACACTCAGAAAATGGGCTAATTCAGTCACTTGTAAAGTGTGCTACACAAAAACAGCCAGTAGTTTCCATAGCTCCTTTTCAAGTCACTATTGTTTTTACTACGAACCTGACACTCTTGAGATCAAAAGCAACTAGCAGCCTGATCCACACGTTTTCCTTTAAAGTTAGGAGGGCTGATTTGTTGGAAAGGGGAAAAGAATTGGTCCTGCCCCTTGGCAGAATTCCCTGTTATTCAAAGTATTAGAAAAGCACTTCCTGGAGAAAGCATACAATGAATTCCTGGGATGATATCAGGCTCTTGCGGTGACTTCAGGAGCCAAACTGCCTAGGCTGTTCGTCTGCAGGATATCTGAAGAAAAGAATGAGTGAAATGCATCCCAACTTTTCAGTTACTGACTTTGCTATTTAGCAAATTTTGTGTTGTAGGCATTAGAAGTTTTTTTGGGGGGGAGAGGTCTGATCAGAAAATGAACAATTTTAGAGCCATTACAGGTATTTGCTGGCTTCTTTTAAAATCCAGGTATTTGATTGATTTGATTTCACACGTTTCTACCCTACTACAACCAAAATGACTCTTTGGTGTCTTACGCAGAATATAAATCGAACAGCTTAAAACTTCCACAAGTCTCCCACGAAACAAACAAAACTTCCAATAAGAAGGATAAAAACAAACTATCTGCCAAAAACTAGCCCTTCCTTTCCCATGAAAGATCTTTCTTCATCTAGCCTAGGTTGGAGAGTTGTTTTACTCTACAGTCACCACCTATGCTCTTCTTCTTCTTCTGTGTCAAAGTAGGACCTTTTGGCCATACGTCCACCGTGAATCTCCCCAAGTCAAGGAATACGTAGCTGCAACTTAATATTGCTTTGGGCATGGTGTTCCTCCAAACATCAGAGGATGAGCAGTTCTACTGGCAACCTTTGGCAATGGTGACTTCTTAGTGGAACAGGGACAAGAGTCAGGGAAGGAGACTAGCCCAAAGGAATGGGACATGTAATCAAGTATTTATCGACCAACGCACAAGCTGAGCAGTCAGACTCATCAAGAACCAGTGCACGCTTATGAAGTAGAATTAGGGCCACAAGAAGAGCAGGATGTGTGCTCTTCCCTCCCACTCTCTTCCCCACACAAGGGCATCTTGCCCTCTAGCTTACAAAAGCCACCCTAACTTTTTTCTCGTTGTCTTAACATATTCAAAATGGCCAAATTTTCTCCGTGAGCTTCAGCCATCAGTCATCAAAAATCATTACAGTTATTCAAAGAGCTTGCAAGCTGCAACTAGGGCATAAGAACCTACACTCTACAATGTGCTTTTAGCACTGGCCTCCTTAGTGCAGTATTTCTGAACCTCAGCAACTTGAAGATGTGTGGACTTCAACTCCCAGAATTCCCCATGCTGGCTGCGGAATTCTGGGAGTTGAA